GGATAGGGGCATCGACGTCCACCCCGCGCGTGTCTCGACAAGGAGCGGCTTGAAGCTATTTTCTCACTTCACCATTCACCCAGCTCCAATGAGAAGCATTTGATGTGGCTTCACGCGTGGAACCGGGAGGAGCTGTCCATATTTGGTAGAACAGAGGTTTGAGTGGCTATGGGAGCAGTTGGAGAAGCTGAAGCTCCACCAAACGCCCTCTTTAGCAATGCTAGTGTGGTGTTGGGTTACGATGTTTCCAACAATATGAGCTAGCACTAGGTAGTTGATACATATGGATGAGAGACGGTAGCAATGAGTCCTGAATGTCATGTTGTGAGAGAAAGATACATAGTGAAACTTGTAAGACTACCTATTAAGTCTACACTAATCTATTAGTAATTTTTGCACTATTCAACAATTAACTAATGGATTTGACTACCCTAACATCTTTAGGAATGTTTGGGCCTCAGGGTGATGGGCGATCGCACCGGCTATAGGGCAGCAAGGCAGCGGCAGCAATGCCAATGTCGATGAACCATGGACGGTAGCTACTGTAACTGTAGCTCTTTGTTTGCAGCCACAGTACACAGCTGCAAAACACACCCACTATTGCAGGTGTGCTTGAGTTCAGGTCAGAGTGTGGAAGCTGGAAAGAAAGAAAAAGAGCAAATATACCAATGTACCATCTCGTGAGAAAAATAGAGGGCGTGTGCACACTCACATTTTTTTGCTAGACAAAAAAAATATGATCAGGGTTAAATTTCCATCTAACTGTTGTCAAGTGTAAACGATTTTTTTTTGCCAATTGCATTGTAGAATATGCATTTTCTCGATGTATTTGACCTTTTCAACATTGGATGTAAATATCCACAAAACAAGAATAAACGCACATTTATTAATATAGACATCTTTGAGAAACTATAGATCGATAATCTTGATATTGATATGATCTCATAGAGATGTGTTACGACTTTACATACTCTAAGTCTGAGACTTTTCAAGTGAACAAGTTCCACGAGACTTTTTTTACTGAATTGGGCCCGAGCCTCGGACCGGAACCGCCGCACATCGCTCCGGATCCTGCCACGTACGCTCCAGCAGCCCCCGCCGCCCCACGCGCCTCCGCCTGGAGCTGCCGGTAGCAAGCAGTGCCGTGAAGGGATTACGCGCGACCCGACCGTGACGGCGCACGGCAGTACTGTACGGCACTGCATGAGTTGAATTGAATTTTGAAGGAAATGAATCATGCATCCAGCCAGAGCGAGCTCTCCCCGGGATCGGATCACCATCTGTTCGCTGATCTGGCTCTCCGCCGGCCAGCGCCTCCATCTGGGAGACACGACGTGTCCGCGTGCTGAGACGTTAGCTGGGCTAGTGGCTCTCCCGCGCATTAGAAGTTTGCTCTGTCGCAGAGATAGATTCAGTTTTAGTTCCTGGCCCTATTCGGAGACCTTATATATATATAATCTGATACATAGACTATTTATTTAATCCTAACCCATTCAGTATCTTTTGGATCTCAGTTCACTCAATGAACATAAATCAATAAAAAATATCCCCCGTCTAGACCAATTGATTTCCAGATTTTCCTTTCTAGAATCCACATAATCATCCGAGAGAAAGGTAGTTGGCCAGAGCCGGATCCTGATAAATGTGCCTAAGGAGATCAGATTATTGGCCATGGACATCACCAGATGAGAAGAACAGTATACAAGATCAATATTTGTTACGAAGCTTAGTTAAAGGTCATAGCATTCGAGCCTAACTCATACTCAAATTAACTAAAATCACAACACATATATATCATTACATGTACTCAAATACCATTGAGATCATTTACATCTCACTATTTGTTAATTGAAAGATCTATCTAGCACTATCTCTGGTAATTCAATTCACTCAAAATTAATTATTGGTCATTCTTTATTAAACTTATTTACTACTTCTTATTCTCATTATCCTTAAGTACCAGATAATACTTCTCTTTTCCTTAACCTTTACAGTAAGAAGCATGTCTTTGGAATCGTTCACATAACCTATGAATGTATATGCATGCTTAATTGCTTATGCAACACCCTCAGTTTTCTTTTACAGTCAGAGTGAACTCTTAGCTAGCCTCTTGTTTTTCTAATACATCATTTGTTCATTGTTTGGGATTCAAGGATGTTGTTGCAATAATGGTTGATACAGAAAGGAAAATGTTGTTGCAAATGATAACAAGATAGGTAGAATGGGATCGACAAAAGGATGTAGCTGACATTTTGACATACGAAACAATATGATTCCTTCCCAATATTCCATTTCTCATCTTCTATGAGCTTCAAGGGTAATTACATATTCATCTATTGACAACTTTGATCTTAATTATTGCAGCTCAAGGAATACAGGAATTGGAACTGCATATAGTTTAGATTGTCTCTTGGTCTTTTCTCTTAAGGTACATCCACATTTAAAACCATGTGGTTAATACAAAAAAAGAACAAATAAAGCAACTACATGTCACAAATAAATGTTTCCATGTCTGAATTACAATTTTTGAGACTGACTGATGTAATCGATCCTCAAAACAACAGCTGTGTTCTATCGGTAATAAAAATGTGTTTACCATAATATGTGTTCCCATATTCTTAAGAACGTTGTTAACATACAAAAGTAGCTATGCTCGAATTGACCTCCAAGTTTCTCTTTTTATTTTCTCTGGTTATGTGTTGATCTTGTATGTCAGTTCTTTACATGTGCACTAACTTGCAAAGCTAATACTGTTGGCTGATAAGCCATAGCTGAAAATACTGTTGGCTAATTTGTTGTGAGAGAAAAATACTGTTCGTTGGCTGAAAAAATACGACTTATAAGCCAAGCGAACAGAGCATTTAAAGTTGCTCTAGGACCTTTCCTACCAGGATGAAATAATTGGAGAAAGCAATCTAGGCAGCTATGGGGACTCTAATTTGATCTAACCCTGTCCTCTATTCAAGCTTTAACTACAATAGAGTCTGCAAATTGCGGACCAAGAGATGGGAGTGCTTTTGTTATATAATTCGTGAGCAAATCCTAAACTCAACCCTCTTAATGTTGTTTTAGTGGAGTTTCTCTTTTGAAAGATCAATACTAGACAACGCTATTTTGCTTCACAGTCAACGTTTCTTTTGGCTATTCTCGGTGATCCCTGGTTGGCCCGCTCCAAGAAGGGCGCGGCAAGGCCGCGCCAGTGTTTCAAGTAAATTCTGAATTTTTGACGTGTTTGACTGGGCTATAGTTCTCCAAGTTGCAGCTCGCCACGGAACCGATGGTTCAAATGATCACGCGGATAAACCCGTCATCGGGTAGCACCGTTTCGTGTACGCCAGCAAAGTACTGGTACTACAACCAGGATCACCTCTTGCGTACCTGGCAGATAAAAAAAAAAGAAAGGCTCCTGAATTTTTGAAGAAAACTGATTTGTGATTGGATCATAGGACGAAACGCGGCAGACGGCCACTGGTCACGTCGTGATTATTGGTTCCAGGCAGGATCATTGCAGGCAGGCAGCAGCCTCTGAATGCTTGATTCGCCAAGCATTAACTGCTAGCCAGTAGTACATCAGGGAATGATGTTGCTCTGTCGCGGAGGCCGTATCATATCGTGAATTATTTACTGCTGGCTGGTTTGGTGTGAGAGAAAAACACTGTTTCCAGCTGGAAATTTACGATCGTTTACGAGCAAGCGAACAGGCTGATGAAAGCTGTGTGGCGTGGCATGACCAATGACGGGATTTGTGGTGCAATTGATAAGGGCAGTCCGAACGGTGTATTAACCATAGTTTCTATCCTCATTAAATGACTTGCCATGTAGGTAAAAAATTGACATAACAACGTAATTAATGAAGAAAGAGAGCAAAAATCATAGAAATGGTTTCCTCATGAAGAAATCAGGTCTTCTCTTGACTCAATGTACCAAGAAACCATGAAATCGTCATTGGAGAGAAACCACCAGTTTTCAGGGGGCTCGTGCCACACTCCCATTGGAGGAAGAAGATAGAGGCCCCGTTCGACTGGCAGAAATGGCTGAAACTGGCTGGTTGTGTGAGAGAGAAATACTGTTTGGCTGGTTTGATGAACAGTAAAATATGAGGGGAGCAGCCGGCTGGTCTGGAACTTCCAGACCAGCGAACGGCGCTAGAGTTAGGAAAGAGGAAGAGAAAATAATTATTACACAAAGATATCTTTATTGTGAAAAATAATTTCTATAGATAATTTCTCGTGGTATACCTATCAGTTTCTTCCGTCGGACTGCCCTAGGTACGACGACGCCATGGACCAGTGTTTTCTACACGGGGCGGCAGGCAATAAGGCCGCAAGAAGCTGACGGTGGTGTGACTAGGACAGGAGCCGGTGCGGTGCGTCTACCTCTACCGGTAGCATGCGTTTCAGGCTTTGTTTAGTTGGAGGTCAAATTCCAAAAAGTTGTTACAGTACCTATCACATTGAATGTTTGCGGCTCGTGCATGGAGCATTAAATGTAGACAAAAAGAAAAACTAATTACACAGTTTGGTGGGAAATTACGAGACGAACGTTTTGAGCCTAATTAGTCTATGTTTGAACAATATTTGCCAAATAAAAACGAACGTGCTACAGTAACCCAAAATCTAAATTCATGGAACTAAACAAGGGCTCAATCTATGCCTCTGATTGATCATAGAAAGCAGGATCCGCGATCAGAGAGGATCCGTGGATCACGCACGCTCTTGCTGGGGCCCGTCGGTTGCTGTCCAGCCTTTGGAGTCTGCTGATCTAATATACTTATTACAAAGGGGAAAAAAAAGTAATGATCTGCATTCAGCGAGCGATCAGAGAGATTCGATGGCTCACGTTGTTCGCGGGGCCGATCGATCGCCGTCCAACCTTTTGGCCTCTTCTTTTCGTATATATATAATATGCTGTGTGACCAGTGAGACAGAGAATTTGGTCCTCGACCATGCGTAACCACCAGATTTCCCAAAGGCCGTTAAGCCCACAAAGACAGAGCAGAGATGGGCTGGATTGGGAAAATGGCCCATCTTGTTCGAAGGCCTTCCCTTTTTTTTTGGGATGTACGAAGGACCTTTTCTTATATATATATATATATATATAAAAGATTCATGTCCTACATACTCTGTTCAGATCTGATGAGTGAGAACGGTTTGAAGGCACTTGTTCAGATCTGCAAAAACCGTCTTCGAAATTGCAGTGCATGATTGAGCCTGTCTTCACACGTATTCCAGGTGGTCATCCCTGTTCGCGCTCAACATCTTCCGGTAGTTTTTCTGGTTGCGGGTGTGTGCCATAGTAGCTGAGAGCTCAATCGCCATGTAATTTGCTGTAATTATGCTTTTTTCTTCTTTACTCGTCTAATAAAAATACGGCAAAGCTTTTGCCGTCTTTCAAAAAAAAAACTTCTAGTAGTAGGTTAATCCATCATGTTCCTGTGTGCCATCACTAGGTTCAGTACAGTGGTCATGGCCTCAGAGGCCGCAAGCCGTGCACAGTACAGTGTTTGTTACTGTTGAATTCTGGCTAGCCGTGTGCAAAAAAACTAGGATTTCAACAATTATAAACTACTTCCGAATTACAGCTTGGCATCATCATGGTTTGGACTCTTACACATTGCGTAGCTATGTTGTTTTTCTCCCGACGTGATATCGAAATTTTAGTTCGACTGGATTCCAGTATCCTGCATCTGTGCATCGAAGTTTTAGGTCGAGTGGATTCTGGTATCCTGCATCTGTTCATCGAAGTTTTAGTTCCGAGTGGATTCTGGTATCCTGCATCTGGCCATCATTTAGTTATTCTGCAAAGGCTGTCATAGATTTTGAGAGCATAGATGTAAAAGCACAGGTAGTCGCCCTGAGTTTTAACTACGAACTGTAAATGCGTTTCAATTTGCACTGTGGAGTGGAGTGCTGAGAGAATCAGGATCTTAGTTAAGAAATACTACTATAACTATGAACTATGAGACATCAAATTGACATCTTAAATTTTCATAATCTTGTGCAGGTATAACGAATTTGATCAGCCCATATGCAGAGTATGCAATATTACGCTAAAGTCTGAAGCACTTTGGCTTGCACACCAAGTGTCACGGAAGCATCATGAAGTAAGAAAGCTTCGCCTGTGTTAATTGATTTACACTTTTGAGTTGGTGTTTATGGCTGCTTGTTAAAAAAAAAAACACCTGACTGAATGTTTTGCTGCAGCGACACACAATACATTGCCGTGCAATCTTATCCTATATAAAACTAAGTCCTGTCGATTACTTCATTAAAAAAAGATTAGACAAAGCACTATGTAACAAAAACCAGACATGGTGGTTTCCGCTGCTTGTTTTGCTAGTTCCTTATGAAAACTGAACAGTGTTAGTATAAATACATATTTGATGCTTTTGTTGTTATGATTATTTTGGTCTGTTCAATCTGAAACCCGGCTAGCATTTTTGGAAACCATCCCCCTTTTTAGATTTAGTTTCTGCTTACTATCAGATCAGATAGTGTACATTTGATTCCATGGGAGCTGCATGCACGTGATTTCTATGTTGACTTAATTAATTATGTACATTTTAATTGCTCTAAGAATAAGATTATGGTTTATGAAATCACATTGATACACTGCATTCAAAGTGTATTTGCTCTTGAAGCTGAAGGTGCTTCTGTATTTATTACTTCTGAACTGAGGTTGTATTTTGATTACAGGCAAAAGCCGCCGCTGCTGCTAAGGCTGCAACAGGTGCAGGATCTAGAGGCAACAGTGCCAAGCAAGAGCAACCATTGGAGCCTCAGAAACAAAAATCTTCCACACTACCTACCAATTTTTTTGATAACCAGGGAACTAAAAGGCAAAGTGATGGTGAGAATACCTAATGACCTCCCTTGCTCCAAATAGTGTAAAATCAATTGGGTCTGTAGTATTGCTCTAGAGGCATTTGCGTATATTATCATTATCATGGAAATAAACATTTCTTATTTTGCTTTTGAGCTTACATTTGATTCCTCCTTTTGTTCTGCCACCTGTCCAGTGTTTGCCTTCCATTATTTTTATTTTTTTGTCACCTCTATGTACACTTGCTCAGACACCATGTTAAAATAAAAACTCGACTTGCGGGGGGAAGGATTGCCCCCATGGCATTGCTCTCAGATACCATGTTTCTGTAGAGTTGTGCATTATAACCTATTCGATTTTATTTTCAAATGAACCATCTGTATAAAATTCTCATTTTCTTCTTCTCTTAATCTACCAATAAACTGTAATGTCCTTCCTAGCTGTACATGCTAAATCATTAAACCTATCGGTCTGCCACTGTGTTAACTGTTAAATGAAACATGGTGTGGGATTTTAAAACACCGTGAAGTTGTTTTAGAATGTTTTACCTACAATGTCTAAGTATAATGTTTTAGTTATTCTGTTTTCTGTACATTTTGCCATATCAATGTCTAATATAATGCAGATGTGTTTTCTGTATAGCTTTCTACCTGTAGTAATATGGTACAGTAAAATGTAAAATGGCTATTTGTTAGCGCCCCTAGTAAACTCAACAGTTTTTGTGAACATCAATGCCCTGATATAACAACTTTGATTTCTAGATACTGGTTCTGAGGGAAGGTCTGTGCGCCATGAAGTTGCTGTTATTCAACCGAAGACCATAGAAGCAAGTACCGGTAAATCATCTGTTAGGATGGATCAAATGTCAAAGAAAGGGAGTCAAAACAATACCAGTGTCAAAGGAACCCTTCCAGGGAATTTTTTTGACTATGGAGAAGAAGATGAAGCTCCAGCTCCAGTTCCAAAAGAGCTTAGTACAACTCAAAATGTTGCCACTTCCATTCACACAAAGGTGAAAGGCGTCCCTGATGGCTTCTTTGATCACAAGAAAACTGGCAGTGGCATGCAACCCAATGAACCAAGTTCAGAAACTGCTCAAGCAAAAGGATCGTTGCCTGAAGGTTTCTTTGATAACAAAGATGCAGATCTCCGTGCACGCGGTATCCAACCTCAAAAAGTTGACATGAAGTAAGTTTTAGTGGCCATGTCTTGCCGGGATTCAGCATTCATGCATAACAATTTTTACCAGACCCACCCGTTTGTCATGTATTGTCCTGTTTATTTGGCAATTTTACATTCTGTTGTCATGACACGTGTATAGTCACTAGTCAGGATTGATAGATTATACGCTGGAGTTTAGATAGTGTTTTATGATCATGGCTCTTAGCAGCAGCTGGTCAGCATAGTTTAACAGCATAAATGAGTTTGATTTCTAAACTGGTCGTTTTATTGTCATTTCCACGCCCATCTTGTGTTTGTGCATCTGTCAAGTTCAAAATCTGCAGTAATCTACAGTTAGTAAAATGTTATTTGCTGTCTGTACACTGACATTATCATGTCAATTCATTAAAAATCTTGTGCAGTGATGCATACAAAGAATTCGAGAAGGAAATTCAGGAGGATTTGCAGGAAGTTGATGACCGCCTTGAAGAAGAGGAGGTTAGGCTAATTTATATTCTATACATTTTATGCTAACAGTGAAAAAGATATTTACCTACCCATTGCCAATGTTAGTTCCAGACTGCTGATACTAGCAAACTTTCCTTTTTGCTGTAGATTGATGCTGCTGCTGAGAGGGAGGAGTACTTGTCTCTCGAGCAACAGTAAGATACTTCTCCATATCCTGTTAGATTTTGAAAAACATGTGTACCATAGTGAAGATTTTTACTGTGGCCATCCTTTTATTTTTCTATACAGGGAGTACAGGCAGCAAGTTGATATGTTGAAGAAACAGCTAGTTGAGTCGAGAGCCGCCCGTACCGCTAAATTAAATAGCAAACCTATCGGTATGGATGCTGAGTCCAGCAGCAGCGACTCATCGAGCGATAAAGAGGATGACAACACAGATTTTGCTGTTGATTGGAGAGCACAGCATTTGAAATGATGGAAACATTTTGCAACTGGTACGAACTACCGTGGAAAGTCAGAACCTTTAGCATCTTGCCATTATCGAGAATTCTAACCCTGTTCTTCAGTTTTTTTACATGAAGAAAACACTGTAGTTTTACATCTTTCGTCTCCCACAGCAGTAACCAGTTCCCGTCATTCTGTGTAGCGTCATTGGCAACTTTGTATACACCGCAGTTCTGAGTCTTCTGACTACCTGAACCCACTGCGAATCCCTTGACTGATTGAACCTCTTTGGTTGTACGTATCACATTCTGACCAACGGTTTAACTTGTTCCAAGAAATTTTACGTGTTGTGTCGGGTTCATAGACCCGGGGTTTTTCATGGACCTGCTTCCCAGCAAAAAACCTTGGCCCAACAGACATCGTTGCGAACGACGTGCGACTCACTGGGCCGGCCTAAAAACCAAACGACAAAGTCGGAGGGCGATCCAGTCTCCGATCGGAAGGCCTGGCCAAGAAGGAACGGCACCCGCTTTCGACTCCGGCCCGCCTCTCCGACCGGAAGGCCTGACCAAGGAGGAACGGCGCTCGCTTCCGACTCCGGCCCGGCCCGCCTCTCCGACGGGAAGGCCTGGCCAAGGAGGAACGGCGCCCGCTTCCGACTCTGGCCCGCCTCTCCGACCGGAAGACCTGGCCAAGGAAAGGACAACGCTCGTTTCCGACACCGGCCCGCCTCTCCGACCGGAAGGCCTGGCCAAGGAGGAACGTCGCTCGCTTTCGACTCCGGCCCAGCTCTCCGACCGGAAGGTCTGGCCAAAGATGGGAGGATGTTCGCTTCTGACTCCGACCCGCCTCTCCGACCGGAAAGCCTGGCCAACGCCGCTTCCGACTTCGACCCGCGTCTACGACCGGGGATGCGCCGAACCTCTGCTTACAGCTCTCCTCCGACTAGCGCAGTCGGAGCCGACTAGGACCAACCGACCGGGGACGCTCGCTCGGTGAGAACCCTGGAAACGTGTGGAGCAAGTAAGGCAGGGCACTCAAGTCAACCGCAATACCAAGGACCGTACCCTGTACACCTGCAGGACAGTACCGACAGGGCATGACAGAAGGGTGCCCTGCAACCTTCCAGGCATGTCAGAACTCAAGCAGTGTTGTGGACGCCGATGTTTGCCCTACAGTGTTGTGGGCGCCATCAATTCCCATACCAGACGAACATGATGAAACCCCCACATGCCTCTGGGCATCAACAGTGTTGTGGGCACCGTCATTTGCCATACATGGTGAACACGGTAAAACCTTCCACATGCGTCTGACATAAACAGTGTTATGGGCGCCTACAATCATCTTGTACCCGACGGCATGGGCAACAAGACTTAGTAGCATATGTACTCTCTCTCTCACTTGTAAGGCCATCCCCTTCATCTATAAAAGGGGATGCGCTTACTTGAACACACAAACGATTCGAACAACCAACGATTGATTCACCCTCTGCTATCTTTAGACACTCAAAAGCTACACAAAGCACACGCTCGAATACTTAGCGCATGAAGGAGCTCCTGTCACTCTCAACCCTTCATTCCGGAGTCCTACCGGACCTCTTGCACCCCCCATCTTTCTCCCTCTCGTTTGTAATCCCACAGCAAACTTCTAGCACCTGGGCTCAGGAATAAAGTCATCGATCAACTCAAACTGGACATAGAGCACATTGCCTGAACCAGTATAAACCCTGTGTCATTGAGTGCTAGGCCACATCCTACCACAACGTACGACAAAACTACAAATATTTATGTGTTGGTCACTTTCTGCACCGACAATTGGCGCCGTCCGTGGGGATGGACGCCGTACGTTCACGCTTTTGGTCATCGGATGGCCCACCTTTCCGTCATCTTCGCCATGTCGGGCTCAAGCGATACGACTCGCTTTGGCTCACTGAAGTTTCCCGCATCCCACCTGTTGGGATGTGGGTTCCACCCGTCTTCGAGCCGTCCCAGACCTTCCTCTTCGGAAGTCTGGACTTCATCGCCAACTAGCTCGGCGTGCTTCGCCTTCGTGATGAGGCACTTGTCCGGCGCCCGTCGGAGGAGGCACTTGTCCCGGTGCCTACGCTTCGCTCAGAGCTTACGCTGGGCTTAAACCTCGCTGTGAGTAACGTACATACTGTTATTTACTCGCTATTTACTACTTTCCGCTGATTATCCAGAGGGACCTCGTTGTCCGCACCGCAACCACCGTACGACCGGTTCCCCTACGGCCTCGCGTCCTCCGCGGACGCGGATGCCCGGGGGCTCCAGAAGATGCTGACGCCACCCCCTCTCACATCCGAATTCGTGGGGATGGCAAGCTACGCTCCCACCTCTTTCCACGAACTCGTGGATGATGAGGATGAGAGCGACGGCTCCAGCATCGGCGATGTGGCACCTAGTCATCGTCTGTCCTAGGAGTGCGCTATGGCGGACTCTCTAGGACAGCCGCAGGTGGTAGCGGAGTCTTTACAGACAAACACCCCTCTGAACCCTCGCGCGGAGGCCCTCGCTTGTTCGCAGGAGCATGGCGAGGAACTACGACAAAGGCGGCAGAACTAGCCACCACCTGCGTCGGTGCACTCGGCACAGCACGCTGCGCCCCGCGCGCGTAACCCGGTGAGCGGCGCCCGAGGTCACGCCCGCTAGGTCCAGCACAACATCATGGATGGGGGGAACGATCCTCCATAGTTCGCTCGGGCCGCCAGAACATTGCCTCTACGGCGATGCTTCTGCACGGCGTTCCCGAGCCTGTCGACCCCCAGGAGCGGGCGGTTCACCGAAACCTCCAGGCGCTGGTGGAAACCACCGTCGTTCAACAGGCGGAGAGCTCCTCATCGTGACACTGACTCGCGGCCTCTCTCCCCACCAGGGGAGTAGGGACGCACTAGATGAATCGCTCCATCCGCTCGCCACTACAACCGTCGGGCGCAAAACAGGAGGCCGAAGCTGCGCCACTGCCAGACCTAGCACCTGCTCCACACCGGCCCCCTATGCGTGAATGCCTCGGGCCAAACCGAGACGCTCGTAGCGTCATCAGCAACCGATGTCGGGCCCATCATGATGATGACGTCCATCGGGTGGCAGTGAGGGCAGGCGACACGGACCCTGGCTGGACCATCGAGGGGAGCGGTGAAACACACCCCAGGCATGGTCACCAGCTAGATGACCGAAGTCCCAGCCCGGATGGCCCAGGACCACGGGCCTTTGGCCGACACATCTAGAGAGCACCGTTCCCACAGCGCTTCCGACCGCCGAGCAACATCGCCAAATATACCAGGGAGACGAATCTCGGTATATGGCTCGAAGACTTCTGGCTCGCCTGCCGAGCCAGAGGAGTGGATGATGATCACTTCATCATTCAATACCTCCCCATCTGCGTGGGGGAACATGTTCGAGCGTGGCTCGAATTCCTCCTGCACGACAGCATCCACGACTGGGCGGACCTCAAGAGAATCTTCATCGGGAACTTCTAGGGGACGTATGTCCGCCCTGGGAACTCCTGGGACCTCAAGAGCTGCCAGTAGGAGCCCAGCAAGTCCCTGCGGGATTACATCCATAGGTTCTCCAAACGATGCAACTCCCTTCCTGATATCATCGACGCGGACGTCATCAGCACATTCCTCTCCGGGACAACCTGCGAGTCCCTAATCCACAAGCTTGGCTGTCTGAAGCCTCGAACCACTCGCAACCTGCTCGACGTTGCTACGAACCACGCCTTCGGCGAGGAGGCGGTTGGAGCGGTCTTCAATGGAGGCCGAGACAAGGGCAAGGCCAAGCGTGAGGATCAAGACGAGGGCCCCTCCACGTAGAGGGGCAAAAAGAACAAGAAGGATCAGCGCAGACTAGCCAACTCCGCATTGGTCGCCGTAGCTGATCGCGCAGGCAAGCAGCCCCAGCAGGGCCTGCCTAACCACTTCGGCAAGCTCATGGATAGCCCCTACACCAACCACGCTTACCCTGTCAAGCACCTCTACAAGGACTACGAACTCCTCAAGCGCTTCCTACGACAGGCCAGTGGGCCGAAAGAAGGAAAGGGCAAGGAGACAACAGCCAAGAAAGGAGCTGAGGCGGACAAGGATGGGGATGGCTTTCCTGATCCCAAGGAATGCATCATGATCTTCGGGGGGGTCAGATGCCATCTACTCCAAGCGCCAGCACAAAGTGCTCTACAGAGAGGCATGCGTCGCTGAAACGGCCGTCCCCACCTTCCTCCGCTAGTCAAAATCTCTGATCACTTTTGATCAGAGGGACCATCCATCCCACGTCGCTAGACTAGGGCGCTACCCCCTCATCGTTGACCCCATTGTTCGCAAGAAGCGCCCCACCAAGGTGCTGATGGATGGAGGCAGTGGCCTCGACATCCTCTACGTCGACACCCTCGATGGCATGCGCATCCCCCGGTCGGAGCTCCGCTTAGTGAGCTCTCCCTTTCACGGCGTGATCCCAGGGACGCAGGCATACCCGCTCGGGCAGATCAACCCGCCCGTCATGTTTGGCGATCGAGCCAACTTCCGCTCGGAGGTCCTAACCTTCGAGGTGGTGGACTTACCGGGGTCCTACCATGCCATCTTAGGGCGGCCATGCTACGCCAAGTTCATGGCGAACCCCAACTACACCTACCTGAAGCTAAAGATGCCGGGACCAAACGACGTCATCACTGTGAGTAGCACCTTCTCGCACGCCTTTATGTGCGACCGCGAGCATTTCGAGCTCGCCACTGCCGTCATCAACTCGTCCAAGCTCCCGCGGCTCAGGGAGTCATCGACCCCAGCAGTCCCGGACTACAACAAACCAACCTCCTCAGCGGCCTTCCGCCCACTCGAGGAAACTAAGGCAGTGGGGATCGACCCCACTGACCCAACCAAGATGGTGCGGATCGGGACCCAGCTCCTGGCCAAATAGGAATGTGAGCTCGTCGACTTCCTATGCTCCAATCGCGATGTCTTCGCATGGAAACCATCTGACATGCCGGGCATACCGTGGGACATCGCCGAGCATGCACTGCGCC